TTTGGTTAGTGACCCTGGATCAAAGAACAGGTTCATGTTGACAAACTGGGTGAGAGGTCATGATTATCTATTAGGGCTTGTCCACTCAGCTTTATGTGGGAGTTGGGGACCTCAACTCCTGTCCTCAGCTTGTGCAGCAAGCCACCTGCCCATCCTCCCTTTCTGGACTCCTTTTGTTGTTTTATGCTGCTCCCCCACCCCACTTACTGCTTTTCACCCTTCTTCCCCTGTTCCATGGAAACACCCGATTCCTCTAGATCTTTTTTCTCTGGTAGCTGAAATAAGCTAAGCCTCATTAAGGGAGAACACGGCTAAGTTACATGAGGAAAAAGTGAATTCCTGATCCTGACTTCCTTCCCTCGGGTTCCCGAAGCCCATGCCCCTCTACTGCACCTGATTCCTGCAGGGCACAGCAGCCAGCTGCCAGAAGCTAGAACATTCACTGTCAACCCTAGGGGAGACCCACTGAAGAGACTTTTCTGGCAGCCTAGATAGTCTACTCTCCACATGACTCAGGGGGTAACCTCCAGACGTTTCTGTAGGTGGACAAAGATGGATAACTTATCTTTCAGCAAACCACAGCCACACCCTCTTCAACAAGACCTCCATCTTTCCCTTGGGCATTCTGTCCCTCTTGTATTGGATCTTGCACATTTTGCTGTACACCCTTTCTTAGAGACCCCCATTTCTCAGTAGCCAATCCTATATTATGCTGGTCACCTCTTAGAATTAGTTCCTTTTGTTGTACTTGACCTGTCCCAGAAGTTCTAGGTTCTTTCTTTTACCCTAAACACCCTCATCTCAGCCCTTGAGATCTTGCTCTTTTTCTACTAGGACCCAAGTTTTGGCCTCAGACACCTGCATTCATCTTTAAATTTCTACTACCTTTATAACTAAATCTGAGGCGTGCACTTTAGTTCAAGGTACTACATGGTTCAGTGATATAAGGTGTTCTTTAAATGGTGATATAAGACTCCCAAATTTGATATCCTATATTGGATAGATGGCTGATTGATTTGTTCTTCTGATTTTTCTTTTTCAAGACATCTAAAACCAATTCTAAACCAGCCAACTTTATTCCTTGACCCAATGATTTCTCCTATCATTGGAGAGCCAATGCCTCCCACGAGGCAATGCTTGCCTTATGTCTCCACAAATGAAGTCTTGGTACAAGTTTTACTGTTGCATTCTGTCAGTTATCTCTCAATTTAACCATTTGCCATGAAGTCCTCATCCTGAATCAGAATCCTACCCTCAACGTCTCACTGCCAGGCTACTTCTCTTACCAACTGTCACAGCTTAGATACCACAAAAGCAGAGCCCAAGACACACATGGAGAGCTTTTTAAGTGATTCTAGGGAAATGAATTCGGAACCTGTGAAACAGTAGAAAAACAAAAAACTAATGAATACAAGGGTATGTTACTGATGTGTGATGCTTTAGGAGTTTGAGACTTGTGATTCTGACCAGTCATGTGGTACTCAGAATTTTCCATCCGAAGGATGAGAGAGAACTCATCTATAGGTTCTTGCTCTCCACTGTTCAATGGGTTGTCTGTGGAATGTCAATTTGCACTTCCAGGAGGGCAGGTGACCTCCAGTACAGCCATATGGGATCCTTATGGGTTTATCTCACAAACCTGGCATCAGAAAAGCCCCATGGCAAATAGAGAGATATGCTGTACAGGTGTTTATACATGAGCAAAACTGATTGTGGCAGCAATAACTTGTTAAAAAATGTGATAAGAGAAGATGGCTGACATAGTGATCAAGGAGGAGACTGTTGTCAAGTTCCAAAGCTAAGCAGAAGCTACACTATGCAAGACCTTGCAAGCTATGGTAATTTGAATTTAATTTTAAAAATGATTATTATTTTGTGTATGTGTATGCCTGTGTGTGTGCATGTGTGCGTGTGCGCGTTGTGTGTACACCATGGTGCATATGTGGAAGACAACTTTGTGGGGTTGATTCTCTCCTTCCACCTTTACACAGGTTCTGGGATTGAACTCAGGTTATCAGGCTTGTGCGCCAAGCACTGTACTCACAAAGCCACCTCATGGGCCACTATTTGAATTCTCAGTGCACCTGAAAATCACTGGCCAGGGCACTGGGAAGATGGCTTAGCTGGCTCTCAGAACCCTTATGGTGGCTTACAAAAACTCATGTTCCAGGGGATTTGCTGTCCTCTTCTGGCTTCCATGAGCATTGCATGCATATGGTACACTCACATACACGCAGGCAAAACACCTACCATATACATAAAAAATTTAAAAAGTGGAGAGAGAGAACCATTGAAAAGGTTCTAAATAATACAGTCACATGCTCTGACTTCAGAATTTAAAAAGACCCACTCTGTGGTCAGTGTGGGAAATTGGCTTCTGGAAGAGAAGGTATAGAAGACAAATGGAAGTGATCATAGTGTACAAGAAAGAGCTGATGGTGGGTTTAAACAGGGTGACTGAGGTAGACAGAGTGGAAACAAATCAGAGTAAGGACTGCTAAGAGCCTACATGTGGAATAGGAGCACTCAAGGATAATTCTCGGGGCATTCCCATAGGTTATATACTATTCATGGCTTATGGTTTCATTTAACTGTATATACTCAAAATAAACGAAGTGATTCCAGTTTTTTGAGACAGGCCTTTTTGTACAGACGGGCTTTCCTCAGGATCATGATCCTCCTGCTTCAGACTCCTGAGTGCTGGAATGATAGGTGCATATCCCATGTTTGGCTTCATGAGGTGGTTTTTATGTGATGGGGGAACTCCTCTAGTTTTATAGATACTAATGTATTGATGGGAGTTTACTTATAGGACACCGAAATGATTAAAAACATCAAATTCATGCATATTTGTTTTCAACTAGCTGCTTAAATACACTTATTTCTTTCATGTAATAAATGTTTTAAAAACATTCAAAAATACTTTCAACTCAAAAGTACCTTTTCTGAATTCTCTTGTAACACATAGCAACACATTTGTAAAAATTGTCCTTGAATGAGTTTGTCTTGCTTGACAACTTATCTGAGAATCAAGACTTATTTTTCTCTAATGGCAGAGTTTGTCAGGCCCTTTGAACATCCTTGATCATGTCACATCTTAGAACGTTGAGTAACTGAGAAAACACTTGTCTCTTGGCACAGTAGACTGTTTCCTTTTTGTTTTCTGCCTCGCTTGAGCAACATATAGTACAGGTTTATTAAAATCTACTCAATTATGACTCCTGGAGACAACGTTGTGTGGCCTGCTGCAGTGCAAGTTAAAAAGACTCTTGGGGAAAGGGTATTCCACAGCCACATCGTATTGTCAATCTATTGATCAAAATAACCCTGTAGCTGCCCTAGTAATTTTATTTACATGTGTGTGGGAGTGTTTTGTCTGTTTGTATGTGTGTGTACCATGTGCCTGCTTGGTGTCCTAAGAGGCCAGAAGAGGGCTTTGGATCCCTTGGGACTGGAGTTACAGATAGCTGTTTACTACCATTGGGGGGGGGGGTGCCTGGGAATTGAACCCAGGTCCTCTGGAAGAGGAGCCAGTTCTCTTAACCCCCGAGGCATCTCCCCCAGCCTGCCCCAGTGGATTCCTTAAGGAACAGAGGGAAAGAGGGAACTTGACTTTCTGAGTATGTAACATACTACATCTTCTGCAGTAGAGGTGTTGTAAGGCTTGCTTATTCTCTATGTCCAGTGACTCTTCCTCTTCCTTAAGATCTCATATCAAGTGTTGCTTCTTAGGAGGACTTTCCCAGCCTTGACCAGGTCTCCCATCATCCCTCTGCAGAGCAACCTGACTCTCCAGTCAGAACACAAGTCATACTTGCAGCTTGACATTAATTTGTGTGATTATTACTTTTTTTTAAAAAGATTTATTTATTTATTATGTATACATCATGTATGACTGCAGGCCAGAAGAGGGCACCAGATATTATTACAGATGGTTGTGAGCCACCATGTGGTTGCTGGGAATTGAACTCAGGACTTCTGGAAGAGCAGCCAGTGCTCTTAACCTCTGAGCCATCTCTCCAGCCCTATTACTTTCTTTTTAAACCACTATCTACCTCCTCAGCTAACCCACAGGTTTATAAGGGCAGCCTGATAACTAATGGTGGTGGTTTCATTCACTTCTCATCCACAGTATCTGCCACTATGCTTAAATAACTCAGGCATTTAATAGTGAACACATACATGTTTGGTTAGGAAGTGGAGCTCATAGTCATTCAGATCTAAATTTGAATCATGATAAAGCAAGCTGAAATATTATCCCCAAAAGTACCTGTAAATAGTAACTAATATGGAAATAAGGCTTTTACAGACGTCATTAAGGGTTTGGAGATGGAGTTCTTATCCTGGATTGTCTGGACTGGCACTACTTAAATCAAAGAGTGAGGCCAAAACAGAAAAGGTGGAAGGCAATATGACAACAGCAGAGACTGGAGTGATGTGACCACAAGCCATGGGATGCTAGGAGTCACAAGGACCTAGAAGGCAGAGAAGGCAAAGAACAGACTCTTGCAGAACCCTCCGATAATGTGGTCCTGCTGCCATCTTGACTTTGGAACTGTGAAACTAGTTTCCGACTTTTAGAAGCATGAGATTAAAAAATTTCTAATTCAAACTATTGATCTGTTGCGGCAATGAAAGAAAATGGACACAGTGGGCTGTACAAACTATTAGATATGTTGTATGAACCTGGACAAGTTACCTAATTTGCAACTTGGTGCTGAGTCTGTACCCCATCCCAGGGAAAACCACAGCAGATGCCCTAGAGGATGCGGTAACATGTATAACACAGGACAATTTGTAGAGATTATGTTGAAAACATAGTTATTACGATGTTTCTTAGGCATTTTATAAACTGTTTTGCTTAGTTCTCATGGCTCCGTATTGACTATCACATCTCCTCATTTCACAGGCAAGGAAACAGAGAAGTTAAACAGTCTGCTCAAATTGCATGATCAAAATGAAAAATACCATGGGAATAATTTTTTGAAATATTTTAGATGTGTTTTTAAAAATATTCTCATATTTTATTGCCAGATACACTCCATCCACTGAAATAATAGTTCCAGTGTTTCAGAGGGAAGAACAGATATGGTCAGAACAAAGGCGTGACTGTCAGGAGGACTTTCAGTCTCTAGCACAGGACTAATCTTGAAAGCCAAGCTTTGTTGAGTGAGAGTTTTAAAAGTTCTTTCATTGCCCCTTAACTCATCAAAAAGCAGAAGCTGTGGGGGCGAAGCTCAAGAACACAGGAGGCATGAAGAAGAAACCCTTAGGTTTGGGAATGGAGAGGGAAGCGATGCTTGACCCAGTAGACTGAGAATGAAAGGAGAAGCGAGAGTAAGTGATACATCAAGAAACCGGCCACCCACTTTTCACTCAGCTAGAGTTTGGGGTTCTGAATGTCTCCAGGAGGCCCATGTGTTCAAGCCTGGTTTCCAGACTTTAGCACTACTGGGAGATGATGGTGGAATCTCTGGGAGGTGGGGCCTATCAGGAAGAAGCTGGGCCACTGGTGACCAACCTTCAAGGGGTATTGGAACCCTAGCCCCTGTCCCTTCTCTCACATTCTGCCCACGAAGTGAACAGCTTGATTGTGCTCTGTGCACAATGTGCTGCCTGGGCATAAGTCCGAGAGCAACAGGGCCAACCAGCCCTGGGAAACCATGAGCCAAACAGAACCTCAGAAGTTCATGCATGTCATCGAGATAATGGAAAGCTGACGACTGTGTACCACCATGATAACTCACGATCCCACCACGATAACTCATAATAAACTTCTGTTTATCCACTTTCAACTTGGGTAACTTTGTCTTCCTTCTCTTCTTCTTTTTCTTTGACTGCATCTCCCTACGTAGCCGTCACTGGCCTAGACTTTGCTGTGTAGACCCAGCTGGCCTTGAGCTCAGGTCTGCCTGCCTCTGCCTCTCTGGGATTAAAAGAAGCACTACTACTCCCAGCCATGTATCTATTTTGTGAAGACTAAATCCGTGGAGTATGAATGGCTTTTCATAGCATGAGATCTAGAAAAAACTCAGCAAATGTTTCACTGTCATGTCAGATTAAAAAAAAAAAAAAAAAACAAACCCAACCATAATTTAGCCAATTAGAAATTTATTTTCCAGCTGGGCAGTGGTGGTGCACACCTTTAATCCCACCACTCGGAAGGCAGAAGCAGGAGGATCTCTGTGGGTTCCAGAGCTCAACAGTGAAACCTTGTCTCAAAAAAACAAAACAAACAAACAAACAAACAAACAAACAAAAAAAAAAAGAAAAGAAAAGGAAGAAAGAAAGAAAGAAATAAGGAAAGGAATTTGTTGTCCTCCATTCTGAAGCAGCTTGTCCAGGCTTGATGCAAATATTCAGGACCCACTGAAGTTGCAGTCTCCTTCTTGTGCTCTACTTGGCACAGCTTCCGACAGGGCAGTCTCCATTTTTAGGAGAGTTGCCCTCCTTCCCAGCAGGGACAAAGTGTGGAGGTGGAATGGACGTGTGGAGCAAGTCAGACCCTTTCACCAGGGAGACGGCATGTTCTCACAAGACCCGCACAGCAAACTTCCACCTTACTCTCACTGACCACAGAGGACCATGTGGCTCCTCAGCTGCAGGAGTGCAGAGAAGGTTCCATGTTCGTAGTGGTTTCCACAGGAACCCGGAGGGAAGGAGGCCAAGCCTCACTGCTCACCATGCTTCGTGTGCTGGCCTTCTGTTGTTAGCAGGCAAGCTCTCCCCTTTCCTAGAGCATATTCACTTTCCAGTCTTCTTAGATGGACTGCTCTTCTCTTGTGCCGTGGCTAGCAGTTTCGTACCGTCCATCTCTGCTCAACGGGGACGGGCTTGGGAACGCCTACTGCAATGGAAAGTGACTCCTTCCTCAAGCAGTGACTCCCACAGGAGACTGTTTACTCCCCCACCCCACCCATTTCCTCCTCCTCCTGCCCTTCCGATCTTTTCCCTTCTCCTTTCTTGAGGCAACATTGCCTCCGGACCTTGCTATGTGCCAAGGATGACCTTGAAGTTCTGATTCTCCTGCCTGCTGAGTGCCAGGATTACAAGATCACTACTACAAGTCCTCGGTGCTTTGGGCATGGTAAGTGCACACTGAGAACTTAGCTACATCCCCAGTCACTGAGCACTCCCCTAATCAGATGTCACTAGCTTCTTATTCATTTCCCTCTACAAGAAAGCAGCCCTTTGGGAGACAGGGTCTCTCTCTATAGCCCAGGCTATCCTAGAACTCTCTATGTAGACCAGGCTAGTCTCAAATTGCAGAGATACATCTGCCTCTGCCTCTTGAGTGCTAGAATTAAAGGTGTGCACCACCATGCCCTATTTGATATTTATTTTTTAAATACTCATTCTTTTTTGAGATAAGATTTTACTATAAAGCCCAGGCTGGCTCTGAACTTCTGATCCTTGTGCCCCAACTTTCCGAACTGGAATTTACACTTACAAGCTACTAAGATCTGCTTTCAAATGTACATTGAACTGAAGTTCCTAGAAAAAAAAAGCCACAACTACATCAATATTCTACAAGGTTGGCTAACTGATGAAGGGTCAATGACTGAAGAGTTGGAATGTTGCAGGTCCAGAGCCAAATTATTTTGGGTTATCTATCTAAATAGCTATTTATTGCCCTCACTGTGACTATTATATAAATTCTGTTTTAATGCATAAACAGACCCCATCCCAAAGAAGATCACATAACATCTGAGGTCCATATTAGAGATTTCACTGATGTGCTATAACTGGGGCCTACTTGATGTATCTACTAACATATCTAAAGTGTCTTGATTTGGGATTTTCTTTGTTCTACTGCTATAGAAACTTAATGAAATTGTTACCACCTCGGAACATGATATTTGGGGTAATCTAAATCTGTGTTCCTGGGGCCATAGGCATTCACATTTTGCTCCAGAAGAAACTCTGAGACCCTTTGAATTGAGAGCTATGCTTTTTCTATCAACAAGATTTTAAGAGAAATGCTACTGGAAGGAGCTGTCACAGATAAATAATGCCTGAGCTATAGTGATGGCTCAGAGTTTAAGGGCACTAGCTGCTCTTCCTGAGGACCCGGGTTCAATTCCTACCACCTATACGGTGGCTTACAACAGTAACTCCAGTCTTGAGGGATCCAAAGCCTTCTTCTGGACTATGTCCGCACTACACACTTGGGATGCCCTTCAGGCAAAACACCTATACACATAAAAGTAAATAAATCTTAAAAAGATAAGCCTATATGAGGACATTAGTTAAAGATACAAGGAGAGATTTTATTGATGACAGCTGCCATAAGAAAGACTGAACTATGAACTGGATTCGATTTTCATGAAACAAAAGGGGGGAGATTTTTAGAGGCTGGGGAATGTTGCTGAAAGATCTAGAGTGCTGGTGAGTGTTGATGGCTGTGACCGGGCCACTTGTCCAGTAGAGAAATAAGCTTCTCTCATGACAGGAGGCAGTGGAACAAGCTGAAGTAGGATAACCACCTCTCAGAGGGAGTGGAGCCCAAGGTGAATTACCTTCCTTGAATGCTGGCACCTCAGACAGATGGCAATCAGCTCCAGGAAAATGTTAGGCTGCACTCCAAAGTGCAGAGAAGGAATATATAGTTATAGTATTTATTTCAGGACCTACCTATATGGCACCAGGTTTGGGCTGGGAGAATAAAAAAAGGAAATTTCCCATACCTCGAGGGATTTTAATGGGTGCAGTACAATCACAAAGACAACACCCTTAACTGCTGTAATCTGTGTTACAGCAGAGTCAAGTTCCTTATTGCTGTCCCACCCCGACAGTCCTGCAGTTTCCAGCGTATAGCTAAAATCTGATCGATCCGGCTTTAAAAACTGCCAACACCTTAAGGTATGTTTCAAAAGTGCAGAGGCCGAAGTTGACTAGATCCTTAAAACTTACCAGCTTGTCTGTCTCCTTAACAAATAAGAATAGGAATGCCAGGACGCAGGCTGCTTTACACCCCTGGTGTTACCACTTTCAACCTGTCTGACTTTTGCCCTCCGTTAGTTAGTTTACTGCCCCGACTGTGCGCTTGTGTAGGAGGGGTTTGGGATCCAGTGGGACAGCGGCTGGCTGTCCTTCTGGACGAGAGGCTTCCGGGGAAAACTAACACCATGGAGAGCGGCACGCGGGCAGCTCCGGGAGGCTTGGGATCCCTTCCTCTAGGTCCCAGCGGGGCGCAGGTCACCTGACCGAGCGGATCACGTGACTGGCGGGAGGCTCCCCCCCCCCCGGCCCCCCGTTACCGCTCACAGGGCGGTCGCCGCGTCAGCTCGGAGCGCGCGGTCCGAAAAGCAAGTTAGGTGGCGTCTGGAAAGCAGCCCGCTGCCGTCTCAGGAGCCGCCACCGGGCCATGACGTCTCCTCCGAACCCCGTACCGCCCACGTGACTCCGTCCGGCCTTCCTCTCCCGGCGCCTTCCCTTCCGCTTTGGCCTCCGCGGGCCCCGCCGCTCACCTCCGTGCGCCTGCGCGGACGGGGGGCAGGCGGGGGCAGCGAGGTTGGTTTGCGGCATCGTCGTCGTAAAGCGCCGTCGTGCGGCCGGTGCGTCCTGGGGCTGCGGGCGCCGCGGGCTGCGGACAGCCGGCTGGTGTGTGGGGGGGGAAAAGGGACGTCGGCGTCCCGCCAGGGCCGAGCGCCGCCGGGTCCTAGTGCCCGCTGGCTGCCCGGCGCACCCGGCGCGGGGCTCGCTGCGGGGCTCCAGCCAGGCCGGGCGGCTTGCAGACCCCGCGCGCCGGGCGCCGATGGCCGGCCGCTCCCTGGGGCAGGCGGTCGCCACCGTGTCGCTCTCAGTGGCCCTCGCGTCCCTGACTGTGCGGTCCTCAGGTTGCCGCGGCGTCCCCGCGTCCAGGTACCCCGTTTCTGGGACGTGCTGCGGCTCCCTCCCCCGACCTCGGGTGGGCTGCGACCCCCACTTGCCCTTCCTGAAGGTTGTGTTGTAGGCTTTGCCCGGGTACTGGATTTTGGAAAAAAAAAAACTATGAGCAAGGACCTTTCTGGGTCTCTGATGTCTAAATTTGCCGTCATAGCTAAGCCGCCAGTGTTAATTCGTAGACCACCAGGGAGTTGAATGAGCGTTTTCTGCCTTGCTGGGTGTGAGGGGTGATACTGGACACCTGTAATGGAAACATATATACTGTTACTGTGAGTAGCAGATAGTGCTTGCTGTGCGCAAGGAAGGCGATTGACTATTGGCTTTTGGTTCCATCGAGAGACTGGAAATCGAAGTGTAACCTCGCTCTTTCTCTTTCTGCTGGACAAGGTGGCCGCGACTTTCCGAGTGACTTGGAAAGTTTGTAAGCCTGGTTCTGTTTTAAGTTCTCTGACACCAGTGTCTGTAGCAGTGGTCCTAACCCTCACCTCCTGAAAACACATACACCCACACCTCAAACTTGACTGTCCAGGAGGTAGGCTATGACCAAGCTTCAGTTTCACAGAGGAAAAGAGGTTAGTTAGTTCCGTGGCCGGCTTATAAGACCAAATTTGAAATTCCTGAGGGCTCCGCTTACAGGAGTGACATCGTCTTCCTTCACCTTTTTGAAAATAGAAACCTCTTCTACTGTGGTTTGTAGGCCTCATGGTTTCATCTGTTTTCTGTCTTCCTGACAGGTTAAAACCCCTCAATCAGAGTGTCCTCTGTCTGCTGGTGTGAATGAACTTCCTCTTGTACATCTGGTCTTCTTCAGTGGGGTTTGCAGAGGGAAAAAACTCAGCTCCCTGGAAGTCACTAATGCCATTTTTGTTGATTGTTACCAGAACAGTGTCAAGCTGCTTGGTGTTTATTCTTTGTTTTAGTAAGACAAGGAAGTGAACTCTGGAAGTGGTATATCCAGAACCGAAACTGCATGTTCAGAAGTAAAGTCCAAAGCTGAGTCAGCAAGAATGTGTTGCGTGCAGGCAAGAGCCGTGTGCCATCAAGAGTTTGGGACTGTAGTTTTCTTTAGGGGTGTGGCCCAGCTGAGAGCCTGGATCTGGATTCTGATTCAGCTGAGAATATATGGCCTTAGCTAACCTATTAAGGTTCCCGAGTCTTTATTAGACTTATTTCCAAATTAGTTTCCTAATTCCTATTTGTTAGGGCAAAAATTTCTTGCACAGATCTGTTATTCAATAAAAAAAGACTTAGGCTCCGTATATGTATGTAATAAGTATTCTTGTTGTAGTAGTTGTCTCTGTCTCACATTGGAGAGCAGATGTAAATGGGGATCGCACTTCTCTGTAGGGAAGATGCATAGTCTGATTTTATTTTGCTATTTGTTTTAAAAATATTTATGAGTGTTCTCTCTCTCCTCTCCTCTCTCTCTGTTATGTGGTGTGTGGTGTGTGCACGCGCATGCATGCATGCATGCTGTGCAGTTATGTGTGCCTGTGCACCTGTGTGGAGCCCAGCAGATGATATTGGGTGTCTCATCACTCACTGTTTGCCTATTCATTTGAGGAAGATTCTCTCCCTGAACACATAAAAGAATTGTGGGGTTTTTTTTTTAGGCTGGGCTGGATCCTCCTGACCCCCCTAACCAAGGTGAGGTCACAGGTGTGCATGGACTACCTGGCTTTTTGGATGCGTCCTGGGACCTGAAGGCCTGAACTCTAGTACCCAGTGATTGGATGGTTGCTGGTCTTGGTGGAAGTGCCATCTCTCCAGCTCCACTCTTTTTCTTATGGAATTCAATTGACTTAAGAAAGTAAGCAGTCAGGCGTGTAAAGTCTGAGACCAGAGAGCATGTTGACAGAGTTCTGCTTGCTTAGTCTAAATTGGGGAACAGGGAACCTCAGATTACTTAAATATTTTTGGTACGTGGTTGGGATAGAATAATGAATTTTTTTTCTTTTTTTTCCTATTCCCATCCATGCAACTTATCTCTCATTTCAATATAGAGAACAGACTCGGTTAACTTTCTGAAAACATATACCTGCAATCTGGTTAGATAAATACACACGTTTTATATTTACGTATTTTTGAGTGTGAGCTTTGAATGGTCTTTATTTTTCAGAGAATTCATAACTTAGATTTCCAGATCTTTAGTGCTGAAGGAAGCATGTCATCAGATAGGAAAGTAATGAAAACCCACCAGTTTTATTGGTTTGTGAGGCACTCTGCTGAGCAGCCAGGCTGGCTCTGATCAGGTGGCCTCCCTAGCTGTCCCCACTGCTCAGGAATCGTACCTGTACTTTGTACAAAGTGAGTCAGGTTATATATTCTCCTGGTTTCCACTGGATCCCAGCTCCCTGGGGTGGGAACCAAATTGTACTTGTACTTTGCACAAAGCGAGTCAGGTTATATATTCTCCTGGTTTCCACTGGATCCCAGCTCCCTGGGGTGGGAACCGAATTGAACTTGTACTTTGCACAACGTGAGTCAGGTTATATATTCTCCTGGTTTTCACTGGAGCCCAGCCTCCCTGGGTGGGAACCGAATCGTTAGTTGGGCATGCCCTGCAGTTGGGAGTTTGATAATACCTCATGGATGCAGAGTGCATGCAAAATGAAGTGGTAGTGTTTTGAAAGTCTCTAAATGGTGTGACAGAGAACAGCTTTCATTACACTCACAGCTCTAGACACAGACAACAGGGCGGAATTGGACCTGCTAAAGTCAGACAGAACAGACAGTCTGTCACTCTCTTACAAAAACATTCATTCTGTGTTGGTATGACTCAGCAGTCACACCACAGGTAACTCATGTCCACACAAAAACTTGCACATACCTTTTTATTAATAAACTCCTGTTTGTATTTTTGCCCATGGCTGATTTCCCATAACACTCCCGCCCATTTCCTGAAAGGAAGCAAAATGAAAGTTCTGCCTTCTGTTTCCTCAGCTAAAATAATTGTAGTCAATAGGCAACAGTTATGAGATTAACTAGTTTGTGTGTGCATGCTGGTGCGGTGTCAGTGTGTGTGTGTGTGTGTGTGTGTGTGTGTGTGTGTGTGTCCATCCATATGGGAGCCAGAGGTTGATCCTGGATGTCTTCCTTGGCCCCCGAGACAGGGTCTCTCTCACTGACCCTGGAGCTCACCCGTAGGCTGGCTGGCTATTGAGCTTTCCCGTGAACATCCTTCACCTCCGATGCTGTCTGTGGTGACTGTACGGAGGTGCTCACCTGTTGTGTCGGTGCCAGGGCTCTGACCTGAGGTCCTTGTGTAAGCCTTCTGCTGAGTTATCTCTCCAGTCCGATTTAGCTAATTTTCAAAAGCTCGATATTTAGAAAAACCCCTTGTGGATGCTACATGTTCTTAACTTTTTTGATTTAAAAGTGTTTATTTTGCGTGTGCATGTGGATGCACAGATGAGTGCAGGTGCCCTCAGAGGTCAGAGGCCTCGGATACTCTGGAGCTGGAGTTGTAGGTGGTTGTGCGTTGTCTGACTTAGGTGTTGGGAATCAAGCTTGGGTCCTCTGGAAGAGCAATACATGCTTTTAACTGCCCAGTCATCAATCTCTCCAGCCCCAATTTTCTGATTTTAAAGTATTTGAAATTGAAAAATGTTTTGGCAAACTTTGAACTAGGTTATTTAATTCATATTTTAGAATGTTCATAAGATGCCTTTCTTTTTTCTCCTTAGGAACTCATTTCCATCCTGTGGATTTCACCTTAACGCCAACATCATGTCTGGTTCTAATGATGCCAAAGACAATTCCCACAACAAGGCTCGGACATCTCCTTACCCGGGTTCGAAAGTTGAACGGAGTCAGGTCCCCAATGAGAAGGTGGGCTGGCTCGTCGAGTGGCAGGACTATAACCCGGTGGAGTACACTGCAGTCTCCGTCTTGGCTGGCCCCAGGTGGGCGGATCCTCAGATCAGGTGAGAGGTGGGTGTTAGCTGGGGGCAAGATGTCTACAGGTTATGTGTTGTCAGTTGTCATTTGTCCCTAGAGAAATCATTTTTATCCATTCTGGGCATTGTTACAAGTCAGTTTCTGCCCAAGCCAAATAATCCATGTTTGTTTACTCTTTGCTAAGTTTTGCGAGGATCTCTCCTAATAGGCTTATCTATTTTGCTTTGAAATACCTGCTGTTTGTTTTGAAATGATAACAGTGGGTGGTGTCTGTGGACAAAAGTTTTCCTGTGTTCCACCCGGCCCGCAGCAGCTTATAAAATAATCACTCAGAGGCTTAATATTAATTACAAACTCTTTGGTCTATGGCTCAGGCTTCTTGCTAACTAGCTCTTTCATCTTAAATTAACCCATTCCTATTAATCTATATTTTGCCTTGTGGTCGTGGTATTACCAGTCTGCTGGCATCTTGTTCCTCCTTGGGCAGCTGGATCCTGTCTCCCTGACTCCGCCTACTTCACCCTGTGTCTCTCTTGGATTTCCCACCTGGCTCTTATCCTGCCTTACCATAGGCCAAAACAGCTTCTTTATTAGCCAATAGTAAGCAACACATATTC